AAATATTTTCCAAGGCTGACTTACGGACGGTGGGGCTTATTAAACCTGGCATAGCAACCTTCTTGCTAAATTGTCTGAAACGTTCTTTTCTTAAGAAAGTAAAGGAAAAAAGAAAACCTTTATCGTAAACCATTAAATAGTAGCTCAGTCAAATCGATGTTATTAAGACCAAGGTTTTACCTTTTTCACTGGTCCTCTAGGATTTTTCTGACAGCTTTGGATCCTGTCCATGTTTTAATGTTTATTTTCAGGGATGAATTCAAGAATCTCTAAAATAAAAATGGGTTATGCTGTGTAATTAATCTGCCACTGGTTACAAGGCACAATTTCAAGTTAATAAAAAGAGGAGGGGGGGAGAAGGAGAAGAAGGAAAAGAAGAAGAAGAAAGGAGAAGACGACGAAGAAGAAAAACGATAAGAAAGAAGGAAAGAAAGAAGGGAGGAGGAGGAGGAGGAGAGAAGGAGGCGGCAGATGGAGAAGAAGAGGAAGACAAGGAGAGGAAGAGGAGGAGGAAGGAGAAGGAAAAGGAAGAGGAAGAGATGGCGAAGGAGAGGAGGTGAAAAAAGAGAAGAGGAGATGGAGAAGGAGGTGGAAGAGGAGAAGAGGAAGAATAGGAAGAGGAGAGGAGGAAGAGGAAGAGGAAGAGGAAGGGGAAGGGGAAGGGGAAGGGGAAGGGGAAGGGGAAGGGGAAGGAGAAGGAGAAGGAGAAGGAGAAGAAGAAGAAGAAGAAGAAGAAGAAGAAGAAGAAGAAGAAGAAGAGAAGAAGAAGAAGAAGAAGAAGAAGAAGAAGAAGAAGAAGAAGAAGAAGAATGGACTCACCTGAAATTCTAGTTTTATCATCTATCTCAGAGTTATTCGGTTCAAGATAACATCTCAAGATCTTCAGTGTCAAAGCTCCCCACCGTCCATTCCACCATGCAGCCGAAACAGCCAATGACACTTACCCAAGTGCAAATGCTTGGTTGCCATCAACATCCAAGAGTCCCTTCTTGAAGATCCATGCTGTGTGAGAGCCCTCAGGTCTCCTCTGCCTTATCAGGAGATGGAATTTGCCTTCACCGTTGTCCATGAGAACCTTCTAGGTCGCCGCTGGTCTTCTACACGCTACATACTGCAATCTTGAGAGAGGAAACAACTTCATGTTCGAATGACAAGGAACAACAAAACCACAAATCCAAGAAACTATGACTTTGTCAGGCCAACCATTTTTAAACAGGTGACACTTCCCACTTCTTTAATCTTTCGGCAAGACTGAATGTATGGTATCTGCTAGAAAGTTGATAGAGGTAGTCTTCGACTTATGACTCAAACAGCCCAAGGAGCTGCTGATCCAGTTCTACAGAGGAATGACTGAGTCTGTCATCTGCACCTCCATAACTGTCTGGTTTGGTTCTGCAACCCAACAAGACAGACACAGACTTCAGAGGATCATTAGAACTGCAGAAAAAACAATGGCTACCAACCTGCCTTCCATGGAGGACCTGTATACTGCAGGAGTCAAAAAGAGGGCTGGGAAAATATTTACAGACCCCTCACATCCTGGACATAAACTGTTTCAACTCCTACCCTCAAAACGACGCTATAGAGCACTGCACACCAGAACAAGAACATTTTTTTCCCCGAATGGCATCACTCTGCTAAACAAATAATTCCCTCAATACTGTCAAACTATTTACTAAGTCTGCATTACTATTAATCTTCTCATTGTTCCCGCCACCCATCTCCTCCCACTTATGACTGTATGACTGTAACTTTGTTGCTTGTATCAATGGTACCCTATGACTATCATTAAGTGTTGTACCTTATGATTCTTGATGAACGTATCTTTTCTTTTATGTATACTGAGAGCGTATGCACCGGAGACAAATTCTTTGTGTGTCCAATCACACTTGGCCAATAAAAAATTCTATTCTATTCTATTCTATTCTGTGACCATAATTAACAACTCTGTGACTAACTTAACAACCGCAGTGATTCATTTAATAACTGTGGCAAAAAAAAAATGGGGCATAACTCAATCACTGTCTCACTTAACAACGGAAATTTTGGGTTCCCTTGCAGTTGTTAAGTCAAGGATTGCCTTTCATGTGTGCAGCAAAGTCTCATACCAGATAACAATGAAAGAATTTGTTAGGACCCACCAAAAGTTTGGCGAATTATCTTAAATTATTCCTTTTTCCTTGTCAAATATATAATGCTTCCCCCCAATTCTAACGGTTTCCCATTCTCACCAGTCCTCGACATACGCCCACAATCGAGCCCAAAATTTCTGTTGCTAAGCAAGACATTTGTTAAGGGACTCTCGCCCCGTTTTACAACTTTTCCTGCCACAGTGGCTAAGTGAATCACTGCCATTGTTCAGTTAGTCACACCGTCGCTAAGCGAATCCAGTTTCCCCATCGTCAGAAGGCCGCAAAAGAGGATCACATTACCCCACCCACCCACGTCATAAATATGAACCAATTACCAAGCATCCGAATTTTGTTCAAGTGACCACGGAGATGTCGCAACGGTCATAAGTGTGGGAAAAACAGTCGTAAGTCACTTGTTTCAATGCCATTGTAACTTTGAACGGTCACTAAGTGAATCATCGTAAGTCAAGAACGGCCTGTACTACAAAGTCAGGCCTAGTTGCTTACAACTTTCATTTACAACATTTCCAAACTCCTCTGCTATAGAAAATTTGGAACAAAGCAATTAAAAAGGAGTAAGTTTCTCAGCAACGAGAAATAAATCGAAATAAATGCTACTAACAGGCAACATGTAATCCAGTCAGGGTATTTATTGCTCGGGAAAATGGAGATAACATCCTTCAAGTAGCCCCAAGGAAGGAAGGAAGGAAATGCTAGTTTTTAAGGCAGGATAATTTGTAAAAAAAAATAAATAATAATCTTTCCTTCAGTAACTTATGTTGTTGACTGAAACCCAATTTTGACGCGGGAGAACAAAATCTCAAGTACAGCAATAACGATAACGCGAAGAATTAAAAAATCCTGAATTGGCTTGAATCTCTCGGTCGGGACATAAATTGCCATAATTGTGTTTCTCCTGCTGTTTGGCCTTCCTCAACCCCCGACAAGAGTGACATAAATCTCCGGCTAATGTAGGAAATGGTTGGCTGTTCTCTGGAATAGATTTCAGCCCAATTCTCAGAAAACAATTTTGTGGCCTTAAAAGACCCGGCTACTCCGAGGTCACTGCCCCAAGACTGTTACTCCTCCTCCGGCGGAGGAGGAGGGTTGTAAATCAAGGACTACCTGCCTTCCGAGCCTTCCTTACCTACTGGAGGAGGAGAAACCCACTGGATGTATATATGTCCATCCATCCATCTATATATCTATCTATATCTCTGCTATCTGTCTCTATCTATCTCTATCTTATCTATCTATATATCTATCTCTATCTCTGCTGTCAGTCTGTCTGTCTCTCTCTCTCTCTCTCTCTCTCTCTCTCTATATATATATATATATATATATATATCTGCCTCTATCTATTTAATTATCTATCTATCTCTATCTCTCTATTTATCTATCTATCTCTATATCTATCTATCTATACATCTATATATCTATCTCTATCTCTGCTGTCAGTCTATCTATCTATCTCTATCTATCTATACATCTATATATCTATCTCTATCTCTGTTGTCTGTCTGTCTGTATCTATCTGTCTGTCTGTCTGTCTCTATCTATCCAGTTATATCTCTCTATCTCTCTATATCTTGATGTCTGTCTTCTCTCTCTCTCTCTCTCTCTCTTTCTTTCTCTCTCTGTATCTATCTATCTATCTATCTATCTATCTATCTATCTATCTATCTATCTATACAGCTATATATCTCTATATATCTGGATGTCTGTCTGTCTACATCTATCTAATCTATATATCTATCCATCCATCCATCACTATCCATATCTCTGTCCATCCATCCATCTATTTATACATATATCGCTATATCTCTGTCTGTCTGTCTGTCTAAATTTTCCTTAGGCAGAATCTACTCCAGATTCTGAATCTGGAGTGTGTGATTCCTCTGGCTTTTAAGGCCCATCTCTGTCAATTGTATTTCTGAATCAAACTTCATCTATTTTAGGACACTTCAGCTCTTGAGGTTTAGTGGGGTTTACAGCTAGTCCTCACCTTACAACCTGTTGCTCAGTGACAATTCGAAGTTACAATGACGCTGAAAAAAAAGTGACTATTTTTCACACTTATGACCATTGCAGCATCCTCACGGTTACATGACCCAAATTCAAACATTTGGCCACTGACTCATATTTATGACGGTCAGAGTGTCCTGGAGTCACGTGATCCCCTTTTGCGACCTTCTGACGAGCGAAGTCAACGAGGAAGCCAGATTCACTTAACAACCGTGTTGCTAACTTAACAGCTGCAATGACGCACTTAACCATTGTGGCAAGAAATGTCGTAAAATGGGGCATGTTCACTTAACAACTGTCTCGCTTAGCAACAGAAATGCTGGTCTCAATTGCGGTCGTAAGTCGAGAACTACCTCTCTTTGGCCCTGGGAAACTGCAAATGTAGAAATACCAAATTTAATCACTGCTTCGCTTCTTGCTATTTTTTCATCACTGATATTTGTGTGTTGTTTTTCTGCATTTGTTCAAGTGCTCGGTCTTACATAAACAGGAAACGTTTTATGCCAGGGAATTATTTATTCAACATCACTTGTCAATCACAGTAGAACTTTCCTTTCCTTTCCTTTCCTTTCCTTTCCTTTCTCTTTTTCTTCTTTCTTTTCCTTCCCTTCTTTTTGTTCCCTTTCCTTACTTTCCCTTCCCTTTTCCTTCTTTCCTTTCCCATCCTTCCCTTTCCTTTCCTTCTTTCCTTTCCCTTCCCTTCCTTCCCTTCCCTTTCTTTTATCCATTTACTTCCTTTCTTTTCTTTCTTTCCTTTCCCTTCCCTTCCTTTCCTTTCCTTCTTTCCTTTCCTTTCCCGTCCTTCCCTTCCCTTTTCTATCCATTTACTTCCTTTCCTTCTTTCCTTTCCTTTCCCTCCTTCCTTCTCTTTCTTTCTTTTTCTTTCTCCCCTCTCTTCCCTTCCCAACCCTTCCTATCCTCTTTCTTTTTCTTCCGTTCCTTTTTCTTTCCTTTTCTTCTTTCCTTTCTCTCTTCCTTTCCTTTCCTTCTTTTCTTTCCTTTCCTGCTTTTCTTTTTTTAAAAAAATTGCATCCAGGTTTTATTTCTCGTTACATTTTATTCATCACTGATCAACGGATGCTTTTATTTAAATGCATTTACAGTCACATAAACTCATGTAAGTATATATGGTACCTTAATAGTTGATAGGTTGAGCTGTTCATTCTTATTTCTACTAATTAATGTGTCACTGTGGTTAGGTTCAGTTCCTGCCCTTGCTATTTAGAACCGATAGTCCTCGACTTATGACCACAACTGAGCCTCGCATTTCTGTTGCTAAGTGAGAAATTTGTGAGTTTTGCCCCATTGTTAAGTAAATCACTGCAGTTGTTAAATTAGTGACGCAGTTGTTAAATGAATCTGGCTTCCTCATTTACTTTGTTGGAAGGTCGCAAAAGGGGATCACATGGGACACTGCAACTGTCATAAATATGAGTTAGTTGCCAAGTGTCAGATCATGTGACCATTGGGATGTTACAGCGGTCATAAGTGTGAAATGCGGTCATAAGTCACTTAAGTCCCAGACAATGTTTCTGTTTTCTCTTCCAATATAATGATTTCTAGGGCCTTGTTTCATTATTTTTGGCTGGTTAATTTTTTGGATAGTGATAATCATATATAAATGAAAAAAAAATTGTTGCCAAAACTCAAGTCATATTCCACTAAACAAAGTTAGAATTTTAGGGAAAAACAACGTTAAAATATAACCTTCCTACCCTGCAATGATAATTTTGAGTAGATGTTGCTCTTACTTAAATATTGTTTTAATCTCATGCAAAACAGCACTATAATTACGTGTGTCTAGCTCCTGCCAATCAATTGTAATAATTACTCCTTTCTGTTTTTCTATATTGCTCCCTGAGGAATTCTGGGAACTGAAGTCCACATATCTAAAAGTTGCTGATCTAAGTGAAGTTTAAGGTCAGCCTAGAGACAAAACTATGCAATAAGTGTTCTTTTAAAAAAAATTCAAAATAACCTAATTAATGGTTTTTAAAAAAAATCTCCTTTTAATTTTTTTACCCAACTGGTCAGAAAAGACCACTGTTTTTTTCCATTTGGGGGTGGGGGGAATTCAAGAAAAAAAAAAGCTAATATGAAAAGAAAAAATCTCTTTCTAATTCATTTATATCACAGAATTATTTTCCTGATATGCTGTATTAAACACCATATGCTGCATCTAACCTTAAACTATTTATTAATATTGCAATACTAGTAAACTAATAAAAAAAAAACATTTCTGGGCAACAAGAGGCCAACGAACATTAAAAAAACATCAGAAAACAGCAGAGGAAGAGGAATGATATTAGATCAGATTATAATTTATAAAGAAGATCAGAAGTCACTTTTTAAAATATCTTTTTCCTTTCCTTTTCCTCTTTTATTTCCTGCACTTTCTCACTCTTTCAGGTTATAAAAACCCGAATTCACCTCTCTTAAAACTAAACACAGGGAGATTCAGAACTGATAAAAGCACCTTTTTTTTTTTAACGTACACAATAAAGTCTGCAACTTGTGATCAGTAAATCTGGTACCAACTTGGTCTTAAAAAGAAACTAGAGAATACTTAATTGCACACTCATTGTTGTGTTCAAATCATGAAGCATTTCTCCAGAGGCGCCGTTGAATGAGAATGCACGGCTGAGTAATAAATTACAACGAAACCTATCATCCCATCTCTTTAAAGTGGGTGTGGAAATGCTCAGGAAGGCAGGACAGATGGCTGCAGAAAAGATGGTCTAATCCTAGTTAATCGTTTTCTAGCACTAAAGAAAGCTTCTGCAACCACTTCAGAGGCAGCCTTACTTGCAATGCATTGCGGAATCTTATTAGGTGTTTTCTTTCTTTTTTTAAAAAAAAAAAGAAATTTTTTATGGAGGAAATTGTTAACAAGATAAAAAAACTAGAAAAATAGGAGAAAAGAATTAAAAGAACGAAAGAAGAGAGGGAGGGAAGAAGGAAGGGAGGGAGGAAGGGGGGAGGGAGAGGAAGAGAGAGAGGGAGGGAAAAAGGAAGGAAGGAAGGAGAAAAGAGAGAGTAAGAAAGAGGGGAAGGGGAGGGGAGGGAGGGAGAAAGAAAGGAAGGAGATGGAAGGAAGGAGACTGAAGGAAGGGGAGGGAGGGAGGGAGGGAGGAAGGAAGGAGACGAAGGGGAGGGAAGGAAGGGAGGAAGGAGATTGAAAGAAGGGGAAGGAAGGGAGGAAGGAAGGAAGGAAGAAAAAGGGAGGGAGGGAGGGAGGAAAGAAGGAAGGAAGGAGATGGAAGGAAGGAGATTGAAGGAAGGGGAGAGAAGGAAGAAAGGAAGGGAGGAAGGAAGGTTGGTTCTGATCTTTTTGACAGTGGCTATAAAGGCATTTATATTTTACGGTTACATCATCATTTCCTTCTTTCCATAAGCTAACTTTCTAAACTTCAAACCCAAAAATCACAAGCTCATTCTTCTCTTTTTTCAACAAAAAGTCCATAAAGGTTTCCTAGCACTGACAAATGCAATTGTTGGATCTTTCTCGAGTCAAACAACCTAATTTTGCCACCTCTACTATCTGTGCCTTCTTCACCAACCATTCCTTCAGTGTGAGTATTTCAGAGTATTTCCATTTCATAGTCTTGCAGCCACAATCATAAATAAAAATAATCATCCACAGCTCCCCTAACAACACAGGCAGCTCGAAACCCAACTGTTTTCTCGCCAGGAAAAAAAAATACACAACCCATACATATTAATTGTGTACACACAAAAATATGTGTTATTATCTATCCATCCAAACAACCAATTGCAGCCCCCATGGAACATAATTTGACAGACGAATAAATAATACAGTACATATTGTGAAATATTGGGACCAGGTGCATTTTTTGTGTCTCTTCACAACTGCAACCAACCAACTGCACACAACTTCAGAAGGCGGGTGTTTCCTTTGGAAAGCACACACACACACATTACCTAGTTAGAAAACAAACAACTCATTAAAAGAAGTTAATTATAGTTTACCTGCCCTCATCCAGTCTGTTACCATGTCGCACGCTATCTCACTCTTTGAAACCGAGAAATGACCAACAATCATCAATAGATGATGGTCCTTGTGTATTATAATTCAAATTAAGTGTTACACAATTGATATTTTTTAAAGGCTGTAATCCGTAACATACTCACCGAATTTGCTACTAAAATCTGAATTCCATCCTCCATTAAATCTTTCCACGGCAGAGAGAGCAAATGACACCCGCCTTCTTCAAAACACAACTTATCCTAACCTACAATCGACACCGTTCTCAACAGCCACACACCGATGCCTGCCAGTTCCTGTTCGGAAATACCTAGTTATATCGGACCGCATGATCTGACGGGAAAGGAATATCAGCCGGAGGTTTCCGTTTTCCTGATACTTTAAAAACACAATTATAATTCCGCGGAGTTCGCGTCTTCTCACATTTCCCAGGGAGACAAAATTAGACGGCCTATTTATTGCTGACTTCCTGAGTAAAGATAACCGAGACCGTCCGATAGGAAGAAAGGGGCAATGATACTATTACCATCCAGGCCGCAAAACATGCTCTTTTTGATCATTGGATGCTACCGTGTGAAAAAACGAGATTACATTTTTTACTGTGTCAAAAAATGAGATTAACTTTGCCAAAAACAAGTTAACAACCTATTTTTCCAGGTGATCTTTGGAATACAGCTAGGCACACATTATGCAAGCAAAATTGTGTGTGTGTGCGTGTGTGTGTGTGTGTGTATATATGTTCTCTGAGGTTTTCACAAGTGTTTGTATGTAGGTCTTTGGTTATTCGGGTTTTCTCCCGTGTCGACTCCCCACGTCGACACCCGAGCACAACCAAGCCCCCACCCAAACAGAACACACCCAAACAGAACACACACCCAGCCAATCAGAGCACAGTCAAGCCCCCAACCAATCAGAACACACCTCCACCCAAGCAGAACACAGCCAAGCTCCCACCCAATCAGTTCACACCCCCACTGGCAGTTAAAAGGAAGAAACAACTGCGATCACACATTGCTCCTAGAAGCACGAAGCCAAAAACACCAGCCTGAAGATGACGAATGAGACTTCGTCGAAACGTCGCCAATTTTCGACTTCCAATTTTACACGGGAGAAAACCCGAATAACCAAACACCTACATATATATATATATATATATATATATATATATATATATATATATATGTATATGAATCATTTTGGTTGCATAATTCAAATGTGTATATATATATATATATATATACAAGTGTGTGTGTGTGTGTGTGTGTGTCTACACACCGTGTTTTCCCAAACATAAGACCCTGTCTTATATTTTTTTGAACCCTGAAATAAGCATTTGGCCTTACTGCCATGCGCTCAAAAGCCCAATTGGGCTTATTATCAGGGGAGGTCTTATTTTGGGGGAAACAGGGTGTGTGTATGAATCATTTTGTTATATACATATGCACACATGTATGCATACATATACATATATGTGTATACACACACATATATATACATGTGTGTATATATGTGTATGTGTGTATATGTATGTATGTGTATATATATATATATATATGTATGTATGTATATGTTTATACACACAAATATGTATATGTGCGTGTGTGTATTAAATAGCTTGCCATTGTTGAATTGAACTTTGACACACAAAACACAGTTTGACTCTGAGGAAGGTCTCACAGCTATAGCAATTTACACCACCAAAATGTTGGTTATTTATCTAACTTCCTATGACTTTTTGTTTGTTTGTTTGTTTGTTTGTATCTGACTTTCATTATTTCAACAAATAACTCAAGGTGCCGAACACATCCAACACACCTTCCTTCCTCCTGTTTTCCCTACAACAACAACCCTCTGAGGTGGGTTGGGCTGACAGAGAAAGTGACTGGCCCAAAAGTCACTGACTGGTTTTCATGCCTAAGGCGGGACTAGAACTCACAGTCAGCTGGTGATTGGTCAAAGTTACCCAGCTGGCTTTCATGCCTAAGGCGGGACTAGAACTCACTGTCTTCTGGTGATTGGCTCAAAGTTACCCAGCTGGCTTTCATGCCTAAGGCGGGACTAGAACTCACAGTCAGCTGGTGATTGGCTCAAAGTTACCCAGCTGGCTTTCATGCCTAAGGCGGGACCTAGAACTCACAGTCAGCTGGTGATTGGCTCAAAGTTACCCAGCTGGTTTTCATGCCTAAGGTGGGACTAGAACTCACTGTCTTCTGTGATTGGCCCAAAGTCACCCATGCGACTTTCATATCTAACGCGGGACTAGAATTCAGTCAGCTGGTGATTGGCTCAAGACTTTCATGGCTAAGGTGGGACTAGAACTCACTGACTCCTGGTGATTGGCCCAAAGTCACCCAGCTAAGGCAGGACTTGAACTCACGACCTCCTGCTTTCTAGCCTGGTGCCTTAACACTAGACCAAGCTATCCATATACAACATGTCAGTCGAAGTGGAGTTGGGTTTTAATGCCAGTATTAAAATTTCTTCTTGTTTCAAAGGGTTTTGCAGCTCCATAAGGCTTTTGACTTGTTAACGTGGATATGTTTTTATGCCAATAAAAGCTAATATTGAACAAAACACCCCAAGCATTAAGACGCCCTTCCAAAGGTCAAACACCACCAGATCTTGAGATTAGATTTAGCAAAGTTCCCAAACAACATTGTAGCACACACAAAACACAATCCTTACAGGCAGCAACTAGTTACTCGTGCACTACTATGTTGGTAACACAGGCGAATGTAGGAGTAAAATTGCCGGAGGAAAACAAAGCCCGGAGTTGCAGAGTTTCGGTCCAAATCTAAACAAGCCAACACAGCTTGTCATTGTCAAACTGAACATGGACCCACAACACTCAATTTTGATTCGGATGGTAAGCCCTCCGTTGCCATTTGCTGAGAAACACAACCTTAGATGACCCACAACAGAATAAACCTATCATCTGCAATATCAGGATAATCGTGCGACCCAATCTTACTGAGTGCAGGGATATTAGAAGAGATTAAAACGCGATAATCTTCGGCATGAGATTGCAGAAAACTGATGGATATTTCCATGGGGGGGGGCGGGGGGGGTGGTGAAAAGTAAAATTTGTTACTACCGGTTCTGTGGGTGTGGCTTGGTGGGGGGTAATGTGACTGGGTGGGCGTGGCCAACCTTTTTTTTTTTTAACTTTTAAAAGCATTTTTTCTACAACCTCTTTGGCCGAAGGGGTTGTAAAAAAAATGCTTTTAAAAGTAAAAAAAAAAAAAGCCTCTGATGATCATGCAGCTCAGCTGGGCATGGGGGGGGCAGGGATTTCTGCTACGGGTTCTCCGAACCACCCGCCGCTATCGCTACCGTATTGGGCAATCCAGTCCGAACCGGGAGCATTTCACCCCTAGTTCCCTCCCTAGAGGCTATTCCTAGGACGCTAGTGAGAATTATTTTTGAAATACATTAAAAGGCCTCCCCAGCCAACATCTTCATTGTTTTAAAAATTACCAGGTGGTCCTTGACTTACAACAGTTCATTTAGTGACCGAAGTTACAACGGCACTGAAAAAAGTGACAATTGTTGGAAATTGAATGGCGGTATTATTATGGATGATCAAATGATATGGTGAACGGCATTAGAGCAATGTATAAAAACATAGAATAATTAAATAATAATGACAAACGACAACTTGATATAAATGTAGATTATTATTAGAAATATATAAATTGGTTGAACATAATAACTATGATCCTAGGTGGGTTTCACACATTTTTGCCACGTAAAAACCTTCCATGCACGCGCCCGGCCTCAAAAACATGGCTAAATAGGATGGCATAGTGCCTGGGCACGTGGGCGGGCCCACCTGCGATCTCCACTACCCACTTCTGACAGATTTATTTTACTAGTTTTATTTGTATTAGAATGTATGACACCCAGGTGCCACACTGTTCACGCATTGATATGTATATGTAAAATAAAATAGCTGATCTCGCTGTTGCGATCTTGTGAGATCCGGCCATGAATGGTGTGAATGGGGTTTAATGTTTTAATTTTTAAATGTTTTTATAATGGTTTTTTAAATGCATTGTAATCCGCCCTGAGTCTTCGGAGAAAGGCGGCATATAAATTGAATTAATAAATAATAATAAATAAATAAAAAAAACTTGAGGGGACAAAAAAGGAACAGAAATTTCGGCCTCCATTGCGGTCGTTAACTCAAAGATTACCCGTAAAAGCAATTTTTAAAAAAAAATGCCAGGGAGATCTCTTACATTTATATCCCCGGAGAAGAAGACTTGCCAAATCAATTTTAAAAGAAAACAATTCCTGTCTGCCCTTTTTTTTTTTTTTTTGCAATCTGTTTGTCGTTCACGATGTTCTTAAGCCCCCCCTCGAGAACGGGGGAAAATTGCATTGAATGAAACCATTTGGGCCTATTTTTATTCATTGCCCAAGTTGTGTCTGTCGCCTTTCTGGGCACGGCGTTGTTTCCTGAAATCCAAGACCTGGAGATTATGTTTTACATCATACCGGAAACAGCCCGGTCGGGATGGAGTGAGTTGCTAACAGGTGCTGCTAATACCCCGTTGCCATCACCAAGTTCAGAAGAGGCACAGATCCTTGGCCAGGAAGTTGCTAAGGTTTTTACGAAGCCCTGAAATGAGAGGTAGCCGTCTTCTTTTTGGGACTAGGTGGTCTCTCTAATAAAGGAGAATATTTGTAAATCAGGGTTGAACTGTGAGATGTTTGGTGCTCTCTGAGTTTGAAGTTTTTCTGGCAGACGTCTCATTACCAAACTAGGTAGCATCATCAGTGTTTGGGTAATGAAACGTCTGCAAGAAAACAACCAAGCTCAGAGAGCACCAAGGACCCCAGATTTCTCCTCCTCCTCCTCCTCTCTGCAAACCCCACTCCCTTCTAGTACTGATGATTTATATTTTTTATATATTTATATTTATTTAAATTTCTATACCGCCCTACTCCCGAGGGACTCAGGGCGGTGAACAGCCACAGAATAAAACACATAAATACAAAAATTTAAAATAGAATAAAAACGAATTAAATAATTTGGCTGAACAAATTTAAAATACCCCATAATTTAAAAACAAATTAAAATTTAAATTCAAAAAGGGGAGAAGATTTAGGTCAGGCCAGCTTGATGAAATAAAAAAGTCTTAAGCGCGCGACGGAAGGTGTGCAGATCCGTTCCCTAGTTGGGTCACGAAACATCAAGAAAGCAGCAAAGCTCAAGAACGACACAGTTGTCCTCCTCCTCTCTGCAAACCCTACTC